GAAGAGAGAGAGGGGGGAGAGAGAGAGCCGGGGGAGAGAGAGAGCCGGGGGGGAGAGAGAGAGAGAGACGGGGGGGGAAGAGAGAGAAGGGGGGGAGACACTGGGGAGAAGAGAGAGAAGGGGGGAGAGAAAGACAGAGAGAGAGAGACGGGGGGGAAGAGAGAGAAGGGGGGAGAGAGAGACACAGAGAGAGAGAGACTGGGGGGGGAGAGAGAGAAGGGGGGAAAGAGAGAGACTCCCCCCGCGAGTATCGCGGGGCCCCAACTTGTTATCTCTATATTGGTTTATATTTTATTCAATACTTTTTTGGGGAAATGTCTTTATTTTACCTTGTGTATCCCTTTAATAGGTCATTAATAAATGAATACATAAATGAAAAAAGGTCATCTCCCCCCCCCACACACACACACACTGTGCATCTTAGTTTGCTGTGCCAGCTCTTGGACATTTGGGGCAGTGTGTGTGAGGGACCCTGTTGGTCAGGAGGATAAAACACATGGGAAGTGCAGTATGATTAATGGACAGAAGGCAGGGAGATTTATATATATATATAATGATGAGGGGAATGTATATATATATATATAAGTTGACATGTACAGATCTCCAAGAGCTCATATATACGTTATGCACAAAGAAATGGTAGACTGAAGGGTAGAATCCTAAAATATACCACTTCAGATGTGTATGTGTGAATTTTGAAAGCTTCCTCTGTGTGTGTGTGCGTGTGTTAATATCAATATCGCAAAGAGACCTGTTTTCCCCTGTTGGCCTGGTTTGCTACATAGAGAGTTTGTTGTTGTTTTTAACATGTGGAAGTATTGCAAAAATAAGATATCCCATTATAGAAAAAGATAATGTAAGAAAAGCTGTAAGCATTATATGGGTGCATGTTTGAAATTATTCCATTTAACAGAATTTAATAAGAAGGAAAAATATTTCCACCCTAGTGTATGGCCTTTTATTCTTTCTAACTCAATTTCCCTAAGAAAACCCCTAATTCATAGAAATGTTGTGGGGATGAAGATTGTAAGTGTTGTAACACACTTTGCTCACTTAAAATTATCATTATTTCTTTCTAAACTGCCATATTTGCCTCTAGGTGATGGGTATTACATGGCAGTTCCAGCCTTCATTGGGCACAAGAAGGATGTTGGTCGTCTGAAACTTCTCCTTACAGACCTCAATCCAAAGGGCATCTATTGTCTCATTTTTAGTTACCGACTTGCAGGTGACAAAGTGGGGAAACTACGAGTAATAGTAGGCAACGATAGCCATACTCCTTCCTGGGAACAGAGCTTGGCAGATGATGAACAGTGGAAGACTGGACAGATAGAAGTATTTGTGGGGGATGAATCATCAATGAATGTAAGTTAAAGACTAAGATGGTAATGTATAGTTGTGTGCTGCATAATCATGTTGACTCCTGATTCAGATATTCTGGACCTTGCTGAGATATAATAAGGATCAGGGCATGCTCTTGAAGCACACGATGTGGTAACCTTGCTGGGGGAAAAGTAGACCTGGGATGATAGTTGCTCTAAGAAATGTGGGAACAATCCTAAGGCGGCCACCTTTGAAATAACTCCCATTTTATCCTATGGGGCATACTCCTAGGAACTTTGGACTGCAGCCTCGTATGCGACTTTGGGTTTCAAGGAAGAAAGATAGGATGTAAATGTAATAAATACACTACATAAATACATAATGGTCTCAGAGCTTGCAGGGCTTGATTCTTCTGAAAATGCATTATAATTTGCTCTGGTTTTAATCTATTTGCTGACCAGAATATTAGGTTAAGAGACCATGAGAGGGTGAGGAGACAGGAAGGATCCATATCTCTAGGGGCCCATCCTCATTCTAGTATCACTACCCTGAAGGTAACAGAAGGCACTGACTTTGGCTTGCAGAGATAAAGAACAAATAAAGAGAGGTCAACAACTGTATAGCATGATGAGGGGAATACTAAGGGGGAAGTTGTTCTTAAAGGTGTTAACATGGGAAGAGGCAATAAAATGGCATAAACATTTTCCCTAATGTTAAGATCAATGTTATGAAGGTTTTAGTGTAAATAAAAATAAACCAATTTCACCGTAAACAAAAAAAGTATCATAATCCCAATACCGGTATGGTATTCAGATTCAGGATTTTTTGGGAATCCCATTTTTTTTCAGCTCCATTACTCCCTATAGGGACCATTATAGTCAATGGGGAATCTATGTGGTGGTCTTAGAGGGGCTGTTTTTTTGAAGTAGAGGCACCAAATTTGCAACATAGCTGCTGGTGCATCTCCCCAGAAGAGCCTCCAAGTTTCAAAAAGATTGGACTACGGGATTCAATTCTATGGACCCCCCAAAAAGGTGCCCTTATCGTTCATTATTTTCAGTGGAGGGGGGGGGGAGCAAAAAAAAAAAAAAGCAAGGGCAATAGAAACCCAGAAGACCAGAATAAAAGTCCCAGAGAATCTCTGTAGTAGAAACTGAAAGTGGCAGGGGATTTTTACAAGCCCAGCAGAACCAGTGCAATGTGCCAACAGAACCAGTGCCGCTATGGCAGTGCAAACTGCAGTGCAAACCCAACAGGACTAAGGTAAAACCAGAAAATTTCTGCAGTAGAAACTGAAGGTGGGATGATATTTTTGTAAGCCTAGCAGAAGCCAGTGCCACTGTGGCAATGCCAGCTCAACAAGACTGATATCAAGCACAGAATAACAATCCAAGCAAGGAGGGGTTGCAAGCCCAGCAGTACCAGTGCAATCACAGAGTGCCCAGCAGAACCCAATGCCATTGTGGCATTACCAGCTTGACAGGACTGATGTGAAGCACAGAATCACTTCAAGCAAGGGGGGATTGCAAGCCCAGCAGAACCACAGTGTGCCCAGCAGAACCCAGTGCCACTGTTGCAATGCCAGCTCAACATGACTGATGTCAAGCACAGAATCACAATCCAAATTGGGGGGGTGGGATTGGAAGCCCAGCAGAACCATTGCAATGTACAGGGCACAGCAATGCCAGCTCAACAGGACTGATGTCAAGCACAGAATCCCAACCCAAGCACAGGCAGAGGGCACAAGCCCAGCACAACTAGTTAAGTGTACAGAATGCCCAGCAGAACCCAATGCCATTGTGGCAATGCAAGCAAAAGAAAACAAATGTCAAGCCAGAGAATGCCTGCAGTACAAACTGAAGGGGATGGACATTTTTTGAAGCCCAGCACAACCAGTTCAATGTACAGAATGCCCAGAAGAACCCAGTGCCACTGTGGCACTGCAAACTTCAAAGGACTGATCTCAAAGCACATACTCACAACAAATCCAAGCAAGGGGAGGGGGATTCTGCAAACTCTGTGCAAAAAAATGGGAAGAGAACACAAAGGATCATGGCAAGGGGGGGGGGAATCTCTTGAAACTGACAGGATTAGTTTGAAACTAACAGAGCAGCGGGGAAGCCCACAGAAAATCCCAGAAACAGAAACAAAAAAGAAAAGCACTCCCCAGGAGCCTGCAATGCTGGCTCTTGATCTCCCCCCCCCCCAAATCCCAAATATATCCAGGATTTTTTCATTCCCCCCCCAGTTTTCTGAGAAATTCTGGATATCTTTGGATGCCAAAATACACCCAAAAATACTGATATGGTATTTTTCATGTATAGTTTTGGCTCGGATGTATCTCAATGTACACCCCTAGATTCAACCATGAAAACTAGCTGAGTCTTTAAATCAGAGTGGAACCTATTCTGTTCTTATACAAGGGGACTGCATAAGATGGCATGGCATTTTGTGGTAACAATCTAACCTTTTTGCAAATGGCATAACTAATGAGTTTTCTCTCTTCTGAGCATCCAATAAATATTCAAGGTAGGCACATCTTTATCAATGTGTTTTTTTCCTCCCCTATACCAGATCACTTTTGAGGCAGAACGTGGGAAAGGTAAAACTGGAGAAATTGGAGTGGACAATGTTATACTGGTTTCTGGCCTGTGTCCTGAAGACCACTTAACGCTGGCTATCTGAGTTTGTAATGCTAATGGCTATTGTAGTATTTACTGTACTAATACAGTTTTATAACATTATAGCCCTAAATACAATGCAAATCTAAAAATCACATTATAAACTTGAGTGCAAGCAATAAGCTGACATACCTAAATGTCTGTGATTAGATAACAGAGTTGTATATAAGCTATACTAAAGGTTGTTCTCTATGTAGCTCTACTGTATAGGTAGGGTCCATACAATGTGAAAGATACTTGTTTAGCTTTTCTGCTATGAATGTGCTTTATTTTGTATAAAATTATTTTATGGAACATTGTTGTTATATATTACCCAATGTTCCCTCTTAGCGTGAAGCGTTGTCTAAAAATCTGTAGCCATAACACTTGACTTGACACTGTAGATACACTGGTACCCCGCCATGTCCCCAACCCCTCCCCTACACACAGGCATATCAGCAAGCTACAGCCATATGCCTGATAAGTGCCCCCCCCCCATTTTAACCATTGACAGCAGCAAATACTAGTGTCACTTAACCATTGTGTTGACCTTAATAAAGCAATAATTTTAACAATCGTGGACAGTTTTTTGCATGAGAGTCATTTTGCAGCTGTTTGTAATTATTCTAAAAGAAATATGTAAAATAGGAAGATTCTTTGCCTTCCTTCTCTTTTCCATATCAGTCCAGCGACACTGCCAGTAAACGAGCAAGGGAGGACACACATTTCTAAATGAGTAAAGCTGTACTTCACTGTTCTGGCTCGTAGAAGTGGTATCACAAAAACTTAGGAGCAAAACCCCCATCCTGAAATAGCAAAAGAATAGCTGGGAACCAGCTTGCTAAGGACACAGGGAACATCAGTAGCCACCTGTAAGAGATGGAACAGTGGGCTCACATGGACCATTTCCCCTTTCTGTAGCTGCATATAATGGGGTCATAGAAGATTGCCATAGGCCAGCATTGGGTGGCCAACTGGATTGGGAAACATCTGGAGATATGGGGGTGGAGCCTAGGGAGGGGTGGGAGCTCAGCGGGGTACAATGTCATAGAATCCACCCTCCAAAGCAGCTGTTTTCTCCAGGGGAACTGATCTCTATTGCCTGGCGTTCAGTTCTAGTTCCAGGAGATTTCTAGGCCCCTCCTAGAGGTTGGCAAGCCCAGCCAGCAGGGATCTGTGGATGAGTGAAGGCTTTCTTGTTCAGTTCAATGTGTGCATTCCTATTGTGTCCCCAGTGCTCACCCAATCAGTGCATTGAAGAGAATGCTCCATGCTTTCTGGGAGTTTTGCTGGCACTTCAGGATGCTCACAGAACTTTGGATGAGGATCACTGGAGTTTTACAGGTTCATGGAACAAAATAATGCTGCAGTACCAAAGAAAGGTTTTTTAAAAACCCATTTGACATCAAATTAAATGGGCCAAAAAGAGCCTGACTTTGTGTTGGATTCTAGCCATATGTATTAGTAAACAATGCATCTGAGAAAAGCAGTGCCAGTTCCATCCTCGTACTGCAGCTTATTCTCCATTAAATTAACAATATTAATTTGGGGAATAACATTTGATCTTTGTAAAATTTGCAAAAATGTGCTTCCTTTTTTCTTATAAGCTCTTCCATAATACAAACAGCCTACACTGTTAGGGAAGAAATAGTTGCTCTTTAATTTTACATCTTTTAGAAGAGTATTATGGCTAATAAATAAGTGAAAAGTACACTGGTGTTGAATGATGTATCTTGAAGTACAAATATTGTTCTTAGAACTTATCCAAGTCTGTGTTATAAATATCTACAATCACCTTTAAATAATTTCTGTTAAATCTGATGACAGATTTGTAGTTAAAGCAAGAAATTTTTAATGAGGTCTTCATTTGTACAAGGTATTAATTAGGAGTTTGAACAGTTTCTAAGCCTCAACATGTGTGTCTGTCTGCTTTTAGTTGGTTAGGTTCATATTTTACAAATAAGGCCAAAAGATTTAAGTTTTATAATAAAATGTTAGATCTATACAACTTGCCCCAACTCTTCTGATATACTGTAAAAATAGTTGTGTTGTGTGTATATATACACACACACAGAGAGAATTGTTTGTTGCTTCTTTTCATCTTATGCCTAGATACACCTATAGTTTAATCCTAAAAAGAGCTGTAGAATTGTTCTATTAGTTGATATATATTGTTTTTCAAATAAAAGTCTCAATAGTGCCAGTGCAGGTGTAATACTCCCTATTTCTTAATCAACAGTAAATAGCTTAGCAGTGAGCTATAGGATCATGAGTTCCCTCCCACCAATCTAAACTCTAATGAATTTATCCTCACTTCTGTTGCTGGGCTTAACCATAGTATGTCTAGGTTTCCTTATATTAATAACTTAATATAAATAAAAATTACATCACCCTGTGAAGAACTAGTCTAAAACTTTCCCAGATTTGTAGGGACAGTCTTTTAAAAAAAATTATTTACAGGGAGAGTTTTTTGTGTAGGGTTGCAACAATGTGACTCACCTCTATCTGCAGACTGAGGTGGTTCTACCTGTTGCAAGACCTAAATGTTGGTTAGAATGAAGCAGGGATTTCTAGTAACAACGGTTTAATAACCAGCTGAACATCAGCCTTCCTGCATTGTACTTTAAAAGTTCTCCTCACCCAGTTGTCAGTACTGTCGGTGTAAGGAGGAGCAACCTTCTATACTGCAGCTTTGGACTTATTACTGGTAGGTCAGGGACTTGAGGTTCAGTAACATAAAATAATACAAATAGGAAGAGCAATCCTGCTCCGGTAGATGGTGTCATAGGTACTTTCAACTTGATTTGAATAATCTTTGAGTTTATTAACAAATTTTTGATATAAACAAATCTGAAATCTGTATATAGAAATTCTGCTAATTTCACATTTGCCATCATGTTGTAATCAAGGAGGACTTTGAACTCACAAGAGAGTCTGTGTTGATGGCAGCAAATCATTGCATTTTCCTCCTGGCAATTTATTTTCCTCCCGACTGTGAGACAAACAGATGTTTCATCTGGCTAGTGTCGGTGGGATTTGGGAAACAGATAATTCTGCCAAGAAATTGTATCCTCTTTTTCTGTGTCCTCTTCCAGGGAAGGATTAAATATGGACAATAGACAGCACAGGCTCCAAGGATATTTTGATGAGGAAGGTTTCATAAATCAATTAAGGGAAAATATGCCCCAATAATTCCCAGACCTGCTTTTGTTTTCTAATTGTATTTACTTCATTACCACTTCAGCCCAAAAGATTCTTCTGTATATCAACTAGTACATTTGCAATCCCATATGTTTGATCCATCTGTATGTTGCAGAATAATCATTTTCTGCCAGCTGGGCTTCTTCAAGGAAAATATGTCTCAGGAGTATATTTAACCCTTGTGGCAAAGTTATTACACAAGTGAAAAAGAGAGTCATAACTTTTTATCGGATAATGCCATTATGAGCTAATGACCTCCATTTTCAAGCAGGTCAACATAATGTTTGGTGGCAGTGGTCCAGCCAATGGACAAAATGGACACTGAGGAAAAGTAGGAATTGAGCAGTTCTGCCCTCTCATCATCACCTCTTACAATTTCACTTTCCTGTCCCTACAATGGGCCTAACAGGTCCTTGCTCTTTTTCTTACTTTGAACTTAAGAAAAGAACAGTTTTTTGTTGTTAGCATCTTTTGCTAGCCTAAGCTCATACTGAGCTTTAGCTTTTCTAATACCCTCCCTATAAGCACTAGTTGTTTATATTCATCCTTGGTTATAACACCCTCCTTCCATTTCCTAATGAGTCTTTTTTATTCCTCAAATCTTTAGAAACCTGTTTATGGAGCCACCTTGGCTTCTTTAGGATCCTCCCATTTTTTTCTTCTCATAGGAATTGTTTGTGATTGCGCCTTCAATATTTCACTTTTAAGAATCTCCCACCCTCTTGAACTCCCTTCTCCTTAAGTATTTCTGACTATGGGATTCTACCCAGCATAACTTTAAGTTTGTTAAAATTTGCTTTCCTGAAGTCCAAACTATATGTCTGACTACATATAGCTTTTCCCTTCCCCAAGACTGTAAATTCCAAAATTACACAGTCACTACTACCCAGGGTGCCCACTACTTTCACCGTATCAACCAGTTCTTCCCTGTTGGTGAGAATCAAGTCCAAGATAGCAGATCCCCTTGTCTCCCTCTCCACCATCTTGAAAATGAAGTTGTCAGCAAGACAAGTCAGGAATTTATTTGACCTTTCACTTTTAGCAGAGTTGGACTTCCAATAGATATCCAGGTAATTGAAATCTCCCATGACCAGTCTTTGAAAACTTTGTAATTTGTTCTAGGAGTGTCTCATCCAAGTCTTCTGACTGGCTTGGTGGTCTATAGCAGACCCTCACCATAACACCACTATTATGTCTTCCTCTTTTACTTTTACCCAGAGACTCTCAACTGAACTTCCATGCTCAGATTCATGTATTTCCTCACAAGTATATACCCCCTTTATATTAGGTCATCCTCCTCCCCCCTTCCTTATTTATCTGTCTCTTTTAAGTAAGTTGTACCCCTGAACCTTAATATTCCAAATGTGTCACCCCACCAAGTTTCAGTAATGCCTATTAGGTCATAGTCCCCTTCTTGTGTTAGGACTTCAGGTTCCTCCTGCTTGTTTCCCATACTCTGCACATTAGTGTAGAGACATTGGAATCCATGTTTTATGCACCCTGAGGTTTTTGTTTCTGTACTTATCTGTGAGTTAATGTTACCTAGCATATATGCCACTCCCTGCAAAACTTTAGCATTCTTATCTTTAGTTATTGGCATCATACTAGACTTTGAATTTTTGTTATGCTTCTCCCATAGGATTTAGTTTAAAACCCTCCTTATTAGGTTTGCAGGGCTCTTACCAAACACATTTTTCCTACTCTCATGAGGTGAAAACCATCTCCCAATAGAAGAGCTTCATGTCAAAAGATTAAGCCATGGTCAAAAAACCAAAACCTTTCCTGATGATACCATCTCTGTAGCCAATCATTTATTTGCAGTAT